ATTGAACCTAAGCCCTCCCACCAGAATCATGTTTGAGTGTATTTAGATCCCTCTGGCTTTCTCTCTGCCTTCACACATTGTGAATGCTAGAACAACATACAACGCATGAGGCAGTCGTGGTTAACTTATATGAACAAGTTCTGCCAGCTGAGAGCCCTCCTGGGCTGGGAGGCAGCACATTTGGATCTCTTTTGGGCCTGAGTACTTGAAGGAACATTTAACAGATCATCCTATGCCTGAAGATGTGGCAGGTGTAATATTGAAAACTTTACTGGATTTGGCGTTGGAGAACTCAGTCCGGATCCTCACAATGCGCCTCACTCCTACATGACCCATCGAAGCAGGAGAGTCATAAGCCTGGGCACGTGTGGGTCAGAGACTGAGGTGTTCTAAGGAGCTGCAGTAATGGACATGCCACCGTCTATGCTTCCAATGTGATGACCCCGATTGTGCAGACTGGTCATGCCAGCAAGTCAAAGCTAGGGATTATAGGAAGGTGTCCTTAGAAAGGGGGTGGCGGGGAATGTGAGACTGGTTAGGAAGCTATCTCAGTCTTTCAAGGATTGGCAATACTGAACTTGCTAGGGTCTGTATTTGCTGTTTCCCAGGTGGAGAATATAGTCAAATGATCTGAGAGGGAAAGCAACTAAGGAAGAGATGTCAGCTGTCAGGTGGAGGGAAATAATAAGTTCCAGGGGCATGATAAAGATTTTTCCCCTAACTACAATTGAGAGTGTGTTTTCCTAGGGCCAAAAGCCAAGGGATACTGGGCGGAGATGAGCCATAGCTGATTCTGGAGCCTCAGAAAATATTGCCCAGTGCTTGCAATAAAAAGGAAAGGATTGTTATTCTGGGGAAAAACAATCCCAGTATTGGTGATGATGCCAGAAGGCTGGTTTAGGAAGAAACTGTCCATTAGACATCCTTGAAGACAGGGACCATCTTTTACTTTTCTTTGTATACTCAGTGCTTAGCAGAGTACTTTGCACATAGTAGGCACCCACTTAAATGTTTGACTCAGGGACACAATTGTCAGGAAGTCACTCAAATCTGGTGATGTAAGAATCTGAGGCCCATGTGGTCTCCACATCGATAGAGTTCGAGCTGCAGTGACTCAGGAAAAACAACCATTGCTTTGACCTCCACTCATCTTTATACACCTTCTTTGTATCTGGTTTTCAAGGATGGAAACTGTGCCTCTAAAGTCTCTGCTGTCAAAGCCGGAGCCTTGAGTCAAGAGAGCTTTCCCAGAAGTGCCAATCCACAACCTTAATACGGTGAGTCAGAAGAATGTAAGCTGTCTGAGGGCAAAGATCCCTTCTCACGTTTGTATTTGAACAGTATGAGGCTAATAGTAGATAATTATTTAAAGCTTGTTGATTGTCTGAGGAACCTTGCATCCAAGGCACATTGTTGAAAGGGACAAAGAGAAACCTTTGGCTGACAAATATTTAAAATTCAAGCCTCTACTTCAGAAAGAAAGAAAGATGTTGGATGGAGGCAGTATTCTATCCTTCCCAGCAGAACGCTTTCTTCTCCAGCAGCCTCCTGCTACTTCAGCGCTCCTAGGTCCCCATCCCTCCCCATGCCTTTAAGTGGTTTCATGACTGTGGCAAGCAAATGCCTCCCCAGGGAGAGATCTCATGTCAGATATATTCCCAGTGAAGGCAGAGGGGAAACAAGGCAATAATCATGAGTACTTAAGTCTTTCTTTCTGATCTCCAATCTACTATCACCTTGGACCCTGGGGCTTGAGGGCACCAGTTATATCAGAAACTTTAATTGCTTTAAAAATATCAGCTATTAATACTGATCCCTTGCAAGGGCTGTCTTGGTAAAGGTCAATCAAATACAGAGGAATATGCTATTCACAATTCATGCTGGCCGCCACCCCCCCCCCGACCCCCCCTCCCCACCCTACGTTTGTAACGTCCCCATGCCAACCTGGAAATGTCTTAAAACATCTGCAGCCTAAATTTTGCTGTATAAAATGTCATTTGAAAAGCTTAGCAATACACCACAGCAAAGGAGTTGGTATTTTTAGTATACCCTTAGAGAAATCTATCCCATTCTCACTTGCCAAACATACTTATAAAACTGTAATTCCTTTTATAACAACTTAGCTCATTTAACAGGGTAATGGAACATGTTTGCTTTTGTCCTTGATGGGTTGTACGGAGCATCTGAAAATGCATTCTACATGCCTCCAAGTGACCATGTGGGTGCTTTGAGGCTATTTTTCAGCCACGTGGGACCCATTAATGATACAATTTGGTATTTTCACATCACTAAATAGACTGTTGAATGGTCCCTTGGTCAACCTGTAACCCAATGACAGCATCAGGTGAAGGAGGGGACCATATCTGTTAAAAGAAGTGATAGCAATTCATGGGAGTTCTTTTGGTTGAGTCTGTCCTTATCCCTTCATTGCAATCACATCTTGCCACCTGCAGAGTTGAAGCCAGGAAAGATGATGCCTCCTCTTTTACCAGTTGCTACACCTCTCCCATGGCCATACCTTCCCCTTCCCTCTCCTCCTGCTCCCCGTCCCATGCTTTCTGTGGTTGGGAGGACAATGGAGGGATCACTTAGAGGCTATACCATCTATCATCAAAGGATCTCCACGTGACCTAAAAGCTCCTATGCTGCCATAAACTGGAGGGAGGAAGAGAATATTTACACATACTCTGGTCAGCTACCAGGAAGGGCCAATCTAAACATCCCCCTATGTTAAACAGTCAGTTTTATGGGCACGTTGATTAAAAATGAGCTAAGTTTTTCCAATGATTCAACAAACATGTGATGACTTCATTGGCTGGAAACTAATTCAGGGTTTCTGATTATTGTGGAATTCAATTAGCATGATGTTTATGGGCTATTGTCATTGAATTTTTTTCTAGCTTTATATAAAAATTTTTTCATATTCAAACCTCATTCATTTAAAAATTATTTTATTTTATTTTAATTTATGAAATAAAATAAGCATTTCCATAACATAGTAGAATAATAAAAAGAGGATTGCACATGAAACTGCAAATCTATTATATATAGCTTGCTATTCTTTTTTAAATATATAACCAATTTTTCATGCCATTTTGTTTTTCTTCTTCTCTCCCCTTCACCCTAAAGATGGCTACCATTAGCCACTAATATGCATATGTAAAATCATATATACATACATATGTATGCATGTAAGTATAGATATACTTCTATTTATCAGTTCTTACTCTGGATGCAGATAGCATCTTCCTTCATATGTCCTTTGTAGCTAACTGGGATATTTATAATAGTCAAAATGACTTAGTTGTGCAAATTTGTTCTTTAAACAATATTACTGTTACTGTATACAATGTTCTCTTAATTCTGCTCACTTCTTTCTTCAGTATTTTGTGCAAGTCTATCCGTGTTTTTCTAAAATCAACAAACTTGGGGCAGCTAGGTGGTGCAGTGGATACAGCACCAGCCCTGGATTCAGGAGGACCTGGGTTCAAAGTCAGCCTTAGACACATAACACTCACTAGCTATGTGACCCTGGGCAAGTCACTTAACCCCATTGCCTAGCAAAAACAAATAAAATCAATGAATTTTATTTGGTTTTGGTCAGTAGCAATCATCCTTTCAACTGTCTCAAATTTCTCAGGTGCTCGGCAATGGACCATCTACCCCCTACCTCCTCACTTTTCTCTCTTCAATCCACAGTTTCCCCCTTACTAACACAACTACTTTCAGAGTATTTCATTTGGCTAATTTACAGGGTGACCCAAAAGTCTCGATGCAATTTTAAGCTTTAATAACTTCAAAAGTATAAATGCTACAAACTTATTAAAAAAAATAACATTTGAAAGGATATTTAAAATTTTTTAAATTGATGTTTCTTTTTATGTAAATAGTATTTTATTTTTTCCAATTACACATAAAGATAGCTTCCAACATTCATTTTTCATAAGATTACAAGTTCCAAATTTTTCTCTCTCCCCCCTCCCCAAAATGGCAAGCAATCTGATATAGGTTAGCCATGTGCAATCATGTTAAATATATTTCCACATTAGCCATGTTGTGAAAGAAGAAACGGAACAAAAAGGAAAAGCTACCCCCAAAAAAGTGAAAATAGTATGCTTCGACCTTCATTCAGACTGGCCAGCTCTTTCTCTGGATATGGATAGCATTTTCCATCATGAGCCTTTTGGAGTTGTCTTGCCTCATCATATTGCTGAGAAGAGCTGAGTCTACCAAAGTTGACCATCACGCAATGTTGCTGTTACTGTGTACAATGCCGTCCTGGTTCTGCTCATTCATTTCTTCATCTAGAAAATGAGCTGGAGAAGGCAATAGCAAACCACTCCCATATCTTTGCCAAGAAAAAAAGAGCACCAAAAGGAGTCACAAAGAGTCAGACATAAAACAACTAAACAACTAAGCAATATCAATAAAAACAACCTAACCACTGTGCCACCTAACTACCCCATATAAATGTTAGCTGTTATTATGATTATTACTGTTGTTTGGATAAAATGAGTCAATATTTGTGAAGCTCTTTGCATCCTTTAAAGTGCTCTATAAATACAGTCAATAGAGTTTATGATAAACTCTACAAGTCATTTCCTTTCATACAGAAGGAGGGTGTCAGAAAGTTTACCAAAAGCCAAGGCTGGCAAACCTTGGACTGGATAGGGTTAACCCATTGAACGCTTTAGGAAGCAAGCATGTCTGGCTCTACAGGCTGGTTTGGCTAAAAGCTAAGCTTTGTTACAATGAAAAATTGTTGTATTTTCTTAATATGGTCTTAATTTTCTTAATATTCACTTAATACCAGTGCCTAGCTCCATGTCCTCTAATGGCTACACTTATTGACTTGGCCAAGTATTGGGTCTGCCATTGATAAAATGTGCCTGTTTTCCACCCTCTGTTTTACAGCCGTGTAGTTATAAGTACATCTGTATCCGGCCCAGCCTCCCTCCCTCAGGGGAGGAGCTGGGAGGGCTCCTTTATCTGACAAACATATTTAGTCACAGCACCTGGTCCAGCTGCTGAGCCTGGTAGATTTCCTCTGCTTCTGTTTCATCCTGACCCCCACCAAGGCAAAATACATCTGCAACTACACCTCCCCAGCTTAGAATACCAACCATAAAAAGTGCCTGATCAGGTCACTTTGTTGAATATCCTGTTCATCTCATTTTATTGCCTTTTCTAAGTTGAAAGAATTCATCTAAGTTGACTCGGTCACTGGAGCTGAATCATTTTCCAAATCAGGCAGAGAAAATCTGGACTTCTGATTTTTCGGGAGAGACAAGAAACAGGTAAGGAATAACACTACCCTCTTATGATTAATAACCCGATCTTTCTTGGGTTAATCAAAAATTCAAAGAACCAAAAAGCTGAAGGGTGAGCAGAGTGTAGAAGATATGGCTAGTATTTGGGAGAACTGCCTTTTTTAGTCCTAGCTCTGCTACTAACCACCTGTATGCCCTCAGGGGAGTCACTTTGGGTGAGCTGGTTCATTATAAAATGAGCGAAGCTCTTAGCTGAGATAATCTCTGGGGTTCCATCCAGCATTGAAGTGTCCTGCTCTGCTGAGATGTCAGAGACAGGAAAAAACAGTTTGAATGCACCATTGTGATGTAAGCCCCTATACCACAATGTGACAGGGCTGGGTTTTCCCACTCCCCAAACAATACAGGTGAAATCTGAGGAGTCTCGGTGCGCGATGCTAACACATGGACTCGAAATGTTTATAATCCTCTGTCGGTATTTCTGATATCTTTCAGTTGTAGCTTCTCAGATAACAGTACTAAGTTCAAGTAATTAAAGGCCTTATACAGGAAAGAGTTCCTTGGGAAAAGGGACGTCAGGAAATAAGTCACACGATTTGTTTGCCCGACTGTCTTACATGAGTTTCTTTTCCTGGTGGCTACAGCATCAACTTTTACAAATGCACTTTTGGAATTTTACTTTTCAATAAATGCATTCATTATTTGGCTGTTATCATGGTGGATTTCCAAGTGCATTTATCCTCCTTTTTTTTTTTTTAATGTTATCAGGACATCACGAGGTCACATGAACCAACCTCTCATCATCAGAAGGCAGGCACTAATTAAGCCCAGCTCTGAGAAGTTCAGTTGTTTCAGTCACGTTTGACTCTTCCTGACCCCAGTTGGGGTTTTCTTGGCAAAGATACTGGAGTGGTTTGCCATTTCCTTCTCCAGCTCATTTTACAGATGAGGAAATTGAGGCAAACAGGGTTAAGTGACTTGCCTAGGGTCACACAGTCAGCTTGGTGCTGCTCTATCCACTGTGCCACCTAGCTGCCTCCTCTGGGAAGGAAAAGAAGGGCAATTGGGGTAGGCAGGTGGAGTATTCATGGATCACTGCAGAGCAGAACTGGCTAGCCAAAAATTGAGCTTCTCTGTATGTGGGAAAAGGAAATGAAAATCCAGCCAGAGCCTGACCTGCCCCCACTAGGATTTACCTTGAGCAGGAACTTGAGCCAGACCCTACAACACTGCCATCTTGGATCACAGTCTTTCCTGCGACCATAATCTGTTGTCATTCCACATCCTCACTGTGACCACTAATCCCTCCACTCCTCCGTTTTTCCAGGACTTCACTCCTACACTGGCTACACTCCTCTCTCTTCCCCAAGTTGACTCCTTGGTTCAACCAGTTTAACTCTCCACTTTCTCCTTCTCTTGAGTCCCTTGCCTCCCTATTCTACAGATCTTTCCCTGCTAAGCACTAGTCTAGGATCACTCCCACCATGCACTGCCTTTGCTCCTACTCATGTGCTGCTAAACAAAGCTGGAAAAAAAATCACAAAACTGTGCTAACTGGGTCCACTACAAGTTTATTTTACATCATCTCAAATGGGCTCTCACTGAGGCAAGGCAACCCTGTAATACCTCCTTAATTGCACCACATGCACTTACTCACCTTATCACCTTTTTCATCCTTCCCATGACTCCCGGTCCCTCGCCCTCTCAGCTAAGACCCTTGATTCGCATTTCACTGAAAAATGAGACTATTTGCCAAGAGTTGCCTCTTCTCCCATCTTCTTCATCTCGCATCTACATGCCGTCCCTCACCCCTGTCTCATGTGAAGAGGGGGTCCTTCTCCTTACCAAGACAAACTCCTCTCAATGCAAAAGAGCATGCTATCTCATCTTCCAACATCTATTATTCCCACTCTCTCGATAACCTTCAATCCCTCCCTTTTTACTAGCTGCTTATGCCTGTGTCTCCCCCAAGGTGAAAAAACCCTCACTTGATCCATCCATCCCTGCTGGCTCTCAACCTATATCTCTCCTCCTTTTCATGCCGTGTAGAAGGCTGTCTACAATTGGTGCCTCCCCTTTCTCTCCTCTCACGCTCTTCTTAACCCCGTATAATCTTGGTCTGACCTCATCACTCAGCCAGAACTGCTCTCTCCGAAGTCACCAGTGATCTAATTGCTAAATCCAATGGCCTTTTTTCATTCCTCATTCTTTTTAACCTCTCTGCAGCGTTTGTCATTGTCGATCATTCTCTTGTCCTTTATATTCTCTTCTCTCTAGATCATTGAGACACTGCTCTCACCTGCTTCTCCTCCTGTTTGACCACTCCTCAGTCTTCTTTGCTAGATTTGCATCCAGGGGATGCCCACTACCCATGGGAGTTCCCCAAAACTCTATCTTAGGTTTTCTTTTTTTTCTCTCGATACTCTTTTCCCTGACGATCTCATTAGCTTCCACATAGGGGATCATACCCTCACCTGTAGGTGCTCTACCCAAAAGAATACAAATTTTGATCACTGAAACTTAGCAAGATATCTTGGGGTTTATGGGCTAGATTTCATTTTTATGGACCATGCCTTAAACCCAAATCAGTATGGCTCTCATTGATTGGCCAACAATGGGTGCCTACCCAAGCCTCTCTTGATCATTGTTTGGATTCTGATGGCTCAGAGGGAGGGCAAATAGCAAATGTTTCTGTTTTGGCCAGAAACCCTGAGGCTCTTCCCCTCCCAGATGGATTTTTTTTTTATACTAGGTAAAAGAAACCATTCTTTGCTTCATTTTTACCTAGCTTTTTATCACTGAATGGGTGTTGCCTCAGACAAACTGAGACCTGGAAAAGACCTTAGCTTAAAAAAGTCAAGGCCTCCCACTGCTTCTGGTGCCATCACCAGTTGTCCTGATCCACTTCTGACCACTGGACCCAGAGGGCACTTTGAAGAGAGAGTGAGGCTGGTGACTTTGCACAGCCCTCCCTCATTTAAATCCAATTCACTTGAAAGTCATGACATCTCCTTCCTGATGTCATGGTCCTCTTTGAGAACGAAGGACAAACAACAACAATCTGTGAAGGTCAGGGTTAGACTAGGAGAGTGGAAATATGGGAGGTAGATGAAAGGATTATGTTAGAGACGTGAGACAGATCCCAATAGGGATCAAAAGGTCTGAGTCTGACTGTTCAACCTTCTTTTGTTTTCTGTTCTCCTTACAACACCAACTTACGCAAAACTACCAGTTTGGTTCAGGGGGAAGTAACAATAGACAGACAAACCTACAGACAGACAAATAGACAGGTATTTTATATACATATGTGTGTATACACACATATATACATACATAATGATCTCTCTATATATATACAGACCATATTTACTTTTTGCTTTATTTATAATAAAATATAGAAGAGTTGGTTAAAATTAATTTCAAAAATTTCAGCAAGAAAATCAACACAGTAGATGGTGCAATTTCCTAACTACCATCAATCAATCGATATTTATTAAGTACCTATTATGTGCCAGGCATTGTGCTTAGTGCTGAGTGTTTGAGATTTTTTAAAAAAACTGATAAAAGCAAGTGATGACTGCAGAGGAATAAAAGGGGTATGTTTATATAGACAGATAGCAAAAGGAAGAAGAAATAAAGGAGGTATATACACGCAAATAAATAAAGATGAAACTCTTTGATTGTCCAACTCTGCTAACTAAGCTTCTCTCCAAAAGAAACCTATTGAGAAAATTAAAAGCTGTTTGTCCATACCGTCAGCAGCAGCTAGAATATACGATCTCATAGACGTCTTCAATTCCTCCCGAGGTTTATGCTGGTAGGTGGTATCTATGGTATCCTCAGACCCTGGGGACGTCAGGTGGACAAAAGTCTAGTTAACTCCTCCGTTGGCAATCACCTGTACTGGGAGCTCCTGAAACAGATGCCTCAGTAGCTGCTAAAATCCTACTATATACATATATTGTATGAACTGTTAGAGAATTTCGAGGCACTTGATGGTATCACAGAAACCATAAGGAATCTAGAATTGGGAAACCTGGACTCTTACTTGCTAACTGTGAGACTTTATTAATAATAGCATTTATGTATCACCTTCAAGTTTGCGAAGCACTTTACCAAAGTTATCTCCTTCTATCTCCCCGAAAGCCCTGGGAACTATTATTATCCTCATTTTATAGATGAGGAAACTGAGGCTGAGAGAGGTAAATGGTTTGTCCAAGGGCACACAGCTAGTATAAGCCTGAAGCAAGATTTTAATTCAAATCTTCCTGATTCCCAATCCAACATTCTGTGCACTTTCCCCCTTAGCTGACTTCTTAATTTCTTCATCTACAAAATCAGAAGCAATGCGCATAGTGGAAAGAGCACTGAAAATAGGGGGGCTGAATCCAAATCCCACCCCAGACACTTATATCTGGGTGACACTGGACAAGTCTATGTATTAAAGAGAGAGAAAGATTCTGGGCAAGTCTATATACCAATAAGATGAGAATAAGAATACTTGCACTAACTACTACCCAGGGTGGCTTACTAAATAATAATAATAGCTAGCACTTATGAAGTGCTTTAAGATTTGCAAAGCACTTTACAAATATTATCTCATTTGATCCTCACAACAACCCTGGAGGGTAAGTGCTATTATTATCCCCCTTTTACAGATGAGAAAATTGAGACAAACAGCAGTGAAGTGACTTGCCCAGGGGTCACTCAACTAGTGACTGTTTAAGGCCGAATGTGAGCTCGGGTCTTCTGAGTCCTATATATTCAGGAATCTAGGTGGTAAAATGGATGAAGCGCTGGATCTGGAGTCAGGAAGACCTGAGTTCAAATCCAGTTTCAGACACATATTAGCTATGTGACCCTGGGCAAGTCACTTAACCCTGTTTGACTCATCTGTAAAATGAGCTGAAGAAGGAAATGGCAAACCACTCCAGTACCTTTGCCAAGAAAACCCCAAAGGGGACACGAAGAGTTGGACACGACTGAAATAACTGGACAGAAACTTGCAGTCAGGCTGATTTTTGATT